TGCAATATAGTTCAAAATATGTGAATCATTAAATATGATTTACTGCATAAAGTGAAGACAAAGGCTATATGATCATTTCAATAGATGGAGAGAAAGTATTTGACAAAATAGAGCACCCTTTTATGATAAAAACCCTCTACAAAAGGAGTATATCTCAAAATTATAAAAATCATACAGGTATTTGGTAAGCTCACAACCATCATTATACTGAATAGGATAAAGTTGAAAGCATTCCCCCCAAAGACTAGAATAAGACAAGGGTGCCCACTGTCACCTCTTGTATTCAGTATAGTACTGGAAGTCCTAGGCAGAGCAATCAGACAAGAAGAAAAGAGGGAATCCAAATCAGAAAAGGAGGTCAAATAATCACTTTTTATTCACAGTATAGTTTTGTATCCAGAAAATCCCAAAGACTCTTATAAAGGTATTTCTGAATTGGTAAATAAATTCAGCCGTTTTCAGGGTACAAAATCAACCTACGCAAGTGAGTTGGATAGCCCCTGGAAGAAGAATGAAATGAGACCCCTGTTGCTCACAACTCAAAAAAATTAATTCAAGATAGATAAGACTGTAAGGCATGAAACCACAAAAATTATAGGAAAAAAGTAGGCAAAACTCTTATAAGTACTAGCTTAGACAATTTATGTCTAAGACTCAAAAGCAATTACAGCAACAATAAAAATAAATACATGAGGCTAGCGTAAATTAAAAATATTCTGCACAGCAAAGGAAATAATTAACAGAGCAAATAGACAACTTACAAAATGTGTGAAACATTCACAGTTGTACATTAGATAAAGGGCTAATATTCAGAATCTACAAAAAACTCAAAACAACAGTAAAAAATTAAATGACCACATTAAAAAGTAGCCAAAAGACCTGAACAGAAGCCTTTCAATAGAAGAGAGAAAAATAGTCAACAACCATGAAAAAAGGCTGACCATCACTAATCCATCAGGGAATTGCAAATTAAAACCATAATGAGCTATCACCTTACCCCTGTTAGGAAATAATCAAAGAGCAGAAATTATTGCATTAGAAAAATAGATAGCAGCAAATCCACAAGTTTATACTTTGAAAAGATAAATTTAATAAAACAGACTGATCAAGAGGAAAGAAGAGTGAAAAGACAACATATTGTGAATGAGAAGTGGGACATCAGTATAAAGTTTAATGTTATTAATATAAAAAGGATATTGTGAGAAAAATATGCCAACAGAGGAAAATAAACAGAATTCTAGAAAAATTTAGTTATTAGAAAATATAAGTGTACTGTAATTAAGTAAATGAACTCTAGTAAAATCGTTCCTTCAGACCAAACTCTAGGCCCAGAGAGTTTTACAAGTGTGTTATGTATCTAAGTAATAATAAAAAAAAATACCAAACTTTTCCAATTAATTATGGAAACATTGGAGTTTGTAAATCTTTTTTTTTTTTTTTCAGTTTTTGGCTGGGGCTGGGTTTGAACCTGCCACCTTCGGCATATGGGACCAGCACCCTACTCCTTTGAGCCACAGGCACTGGCCCAAGGAGTTTATAATTTTTGCCTAAGGTTAATACCTGTTGCATTGTAATTTTCAGGATTCTGTAACTCTTGATATTATTGTTAAGTGCTATACTGTTTTATTTCATTCCTTTATTCACAAGAACTTTTTTTTGGAGACGGAGTCTCACTATGTTGCCCAGGCTAGTGTAGAGTGCCATGGTGACAGCCTAGCCCACAGCAACCTCAAATGCCTAGGCTCAAGTGATCCTCCTGGATAGTTGGGACTACAGGAGCTTGCTACAAAGCTTGGCTCATTTTTCTCTTTTTAGTAGAGACCGGGTCTTGCTTTTGTTCTTGCTTAGGCTAGTCTTGACATTCAAGGGATCCTCAGTGCTAGGATTACAGGTGTAAGCCATTGCCCCCAGCTTTTAATTTACTCTAGCCCCATGTATTTATTTCCTACTGCCCTGAAATACTTATTGATTATTTTTGTCAGATGCTGTATGTAAAGCATTCATTATCCATAGTTGAAGAAAATATACAAAGGATGCCCTCCAAAATATACCTTTCTCAATATGGATACACAGTTTTTTTTTGGGGGGGGGCACCCTCTGCATCTGGTCATCCTAAGGGAAGTAATGAGGAAATGTGTTACACAAAAAATATGAGTACAGGTTAATGTGAAGAGTGCTGCAGCAGCTGGATAGGTATTGAGGGCTTTGGGAACAACAACCTGCTTAGGACAGGTTGGCAAAGGCTTTACTGAAGAGGTGATACTTGAGCGCTGCCCTGAGAACTATTACTGTGTCAGACAGAGAAGGAATATTTAGGAAGGGTTAGCAATATGTGTAGAAGCATGAGGACCTTGCCTGCAGGAAAATTGGTTGTATGTAGTTCAGATGAGTGATAGGGTGGGTGAGGAAGAAAATAAGACATGAAAGGAAGTTAAGGGCTTATCTTCAAGAACCTTTTATGCCACATTAGAGATCGAATACTGAGCATTTAAGTCTTAAGTGGAAATGTAATATGATCAAGTTTTTGTTTTAAAATTATTATTCCAGTACAGCTTTAGAAAAGATTGAAATGGAGCAAGATTAGAGACCTTTAGGAGGTTGTTGCTATAGATACTCAAATAAAAATGATGATGAAAACTTAAAGTTTAAAAGAGTAGTAGAAATGAAAGGCTAGATGTGATGGCTCATGCCTGTAATCCCAGCACTTTAGGAGGCTGAACTAGGAGGATCGCTTGAGTCCAGGAGTTTGAGACCAGCCTGGGTAACCCACTGAGACCCTGTCTTTACAAAATAAATTAAAAATTAGTAAAGTGTGTTGGCATATGCCTGAAGTCACAGCTTCTGGGAGGCTGAGGCAGGAGAATTGACTAACGGCAGGTGACAGAGTGAGACCCTGTCTCTTAAAAAAATAAATTAATGGAAAAGAGAATAATGATAGTCCAAAGTAAAGGCTTTGATTTTGGCATAGTTATTAGTGTTAAACTTTTGTTTCTGGCACTAATTTGTCAACAGGTTTGTTTACTTTTTAATGATTGTTTTTTGTTCTTGGTAAATTGTCATAGAATGTGGGTTCAAACTTAGGGGATTTAGTTAATATTTTGAAAAGATGAAAGAGGACTTTATTCTAGACCAGTTAAATTGGAAATAGGTACTTACTCATTTTTTTTAACTTTGTATTGTGCTGAAGGCTTTTAAGGCACTAAATAGTTTATTAAGCTGACACACAGATGGTTCCTAATCTATTGGTATGACTGTGTTTAAAATTTTCTTTTTTTCTTTCTTCTTTGTTTTTTTTTTTTTTTGCCGTTTTTGACCGGGGCTGGGTTTGAACCCACCACCTCCGGCATATGGGGCCGGTACCCTACTCCTTTGAGCCACAGGTGCCACCCATGTTTAAAATTTTCTTAAGCATTTTCATTTAGTGCTTGAACTCAACATAATGTTAGTCAATAGTAGAAAAATTGTCCTTTACTTAGAGTTCCTAATAAGTAACCCCTTACTTCCCCGAAGTTGAGAACCCCTAACTTTGTAGGCCTTTTGGGGGGAAATAGAAACATTACGGAGAACTTTTTGGGATCAGGGTGTTCTTTGGTGTCTTTATGAGATGGGTAACTTTTGAGACTCATTTCTTAAATAATATTGTGAGCAAAACCTCTTTTCTGAAGACAAATTAAACACTGTATATTATAGTGGTTTCCATATCTTGAACTGGGAAGAATTCTGAGGTATGAAAACTGCAGTGTTAAGTCCCACATAAGGAGGAGATTCTTTTATCTGAATCACTAATGGAAATTTGTACTTCCAATTCTTATTTCTGAAAAACATATTATAAATTATATCCCTAACTCCATTATGGTTTTCTTGTTCCTAATCGTTAAGATCAAGAGAGAGTTTATTTATTTATTTTTTGCAAAATGACTAAACAGAGATAATTATAATTTAATGAATATATTTGTGGTAGTTCCTAAATTTTGTTTTAAAAAGTAGTGAAGTTTGTTTTATTTCATCATATATATTAATCCTTTAATAATGTTTAGCTCATTTTTTTGGCCAGAATTGTTAACTTTTGTAAAATTGCTGAAATCTAAAAATTGGTATACATAAGTTTAATTTTTATTTTCACATGTTACTATTGATTTGCTTTTTTTTTTTTTTTAATAAACAAGATCCTTTAGGCTATAAGTATGGCTTAGGATCTCATTTTGAGATAAGTAGTCATTATGTGGTATCAATTATAGAATATATTCCAAACTCCACAGCATAGCTTGTCTTTCCTTATCTTTCTAATTTTATTCTGTTCAGTTTACTGTTCTTCAAGTTCTTTACTCTGACTAATAATAACTTTTTTGTTGTTTGTCTCTCATCCCAAATATAAACTCTTTTTGCATTTGAATGTGATTTGGGGAATTTTTAAAAAATATCTTAAATGCTATTCAATATTGCTTTCGTTCACCTACAAATTTCTAACTCATCCTTTACGACTCATTTCAGTGTGATCCATCCTTTAATATTTAACTCTCTGTACAAGCAAAGTCAGGACCTCTACCCTGTATTCCATTGTCATCCTGTACCTTCTTCTATTCTAATAAATAATAACAATAATTTATTTTCATGTCAGTATCTAACAGATGACATCTTAATTGGGATTGGGTTTTACTGATTTTTGTTCGTAAGGGTGAGTAGGTATTTAAATTGTTTGCTAGTTGAACAAAGAACAATATGGTAGAGAAATTCATAGCAAAAGGAATCTGTGAATCTCTTTGGAAAAGAAATCTCAAAAGCAAAATGGTTATCCTTTTTGGGAGGGAAGGGGAAGGGGAATACATGGTATTTAGAAAACATGGCATCATCTGAATTTGAATTTGCCACATAATCAGTATTATTTTACAGTTGTATTGTTTTTGTTTAAACTCTGTCATTGAGATCTCTAAAGGAGGTGAAACTACTTTTCTTATGTTTTTGCACCTTGTAACTTAATTTTTTTTTTTATTTTAGGAAATACTCCTTTACATCTTGCTGTGATGTTAGGGAATAAAGGTTAGTAAATATTTGCTTTTTATGTTACCTTCATTCATGTCACTTGAGTTTACAAATTTTAGGATCTGTTTTGTCTTTGAGTTTTTTTAAAATTAACTACTTGGTTATTTTATTTGCTGATTCAGCTTAGAATTCAATATTTTAAAATTAATAGATATAGTGACATTTTCCATAACCCTTTTGAAAAGTATTAGAGGATATCCTATCTAACTTTCACGTCTTCTGAAATCATGTTTTTTCCATACTTGGTTATTTTATCAAGCAGGAATTTATAATTTCAGGATACTTATTTCCAAATAATGTCTATTAATTATTGTAATACTTTTAATATTAGAAGAATTTTATTAGATTTTTAATAAGGCATATTTTGTATCTAGATATATATGTGTATATGTATCTAGGCTCATAAGTTAAGCCTTTATATGGTAGGTAATTGTAAAAACTTTATACTTGTCTATTCTTTAATGTTAAAAGAAACAACTCAGAGGCAGGCATTTTAAAAGATCTACTTTCATATGTTATTCCAAGATATAACAGAATTTTAATTATCTGGATTCCGGATAATAAGGATTTCCTATAGCTGATCAACAATTCTTTGAGTGCTAGATTTTTGAATTGTGAATGTGCTTGATAAAAGTTTGGATAACATACACCCCTGTATTTTGATCATTTATTTATTTATTTAATGTTTTTGAGACAGAGTCTTTTTCTGTTGCCCAGGTTAGAGTGCAGTGGCATCATCATAGTCACTACAACTTCAAACTGCTAGGCTCAAGCAAGTCCCCTGTCTTAGCATCTCGAGTAGCTAGGAATACAGATGTGCGCCGGGCTCATTCTTCTATTTTTTGTAGAGATAAGATATATTGCTCAGACTGGTCTCAAACTCCTGTCCTCAAATAGTCCTCCTGCTTTGACTTCCCAAAGTGTTAGGGTTTCAGACATGAGCTACCTTACCTGGCCAATTCCTGTATTTTTAAACAGGCTAATGAATTTCTGTTAACAGTTTTCTTTCCAGTGATCTAGAAGTTTCATTATGAATATCTCTTATAGGCAATGCCTGTGGCACAAGGAGTAGGGCGCTGGCCCCATATACCGGAGGTGGTGGGTTCAAAC